GACCAGAAGTACTGAGATAATCTTGACACATTTTCTTAACCATTTTATGCAACTCTTCAAATTCCTTATACACAGCAGGGAAAAAAGGCTTTGCTAGATGACCTTTTTCAACCTTCATGAAGAGAAAGATTAAAAAAAAAAAAAGTTTAAACCTGAGGCAATGATATGAAAAATACAGAAAGGAATTTAAATAAACAAAGGATACATGTTCCTCAACTCCTCGCTGCCCCGTCAGTGGTGCGTGTTTCCTTCACTCCCCAGTGAGTACCCACTGTGTGCCCGGCACAGCACGGGAGGCCGGGATGGGCCTGGGGAGCAGGCCAGGAAACAAACGACCCTTGGGTGACGGCCACAGAGGGCGTGGGTGAGCTCCACGGCCAGGGCTGCCAAGGGAGCGGGAAGGGAAGGCAGACAGGCTCTGCGGGCAGCTCTGCCATCCATGGGCAGTGTGGGGCTGGTGGCCTGGGTGTCGGAGTGGGCACAGAGGGAGCAGGGCCTGGGTGCAGGTGGCCAGCCAGGGTGGGTGGGTGCCAGGCAGGGCCAAGGCTGGCTGCTCCTCCCACGCCTATGAAAACAGTCAAGGGAGCAGATGAGCCCCTGCCAAACGGCACCTCACTTCAGCTCTGTCCTAGAGAAGGAAAATGATTCCAAACAGCGTGGCTCTTTCTAAAATAAATACAAGAGATACCTTTCTAAATAACTTCAGGTCAGCCCCTCTATCACCTGGAAGCACTGAGAAGACTCACCTTCATCAGAAGAAATTCATACACAGTCACAGCCTGAGCCAGCCGAGGCAGAGCCAACTCCACCAGGTCCTCCCGGTCACACTGCTGCAGAAACTACCGGAAGAAAGCATTTTAAAAAAATTATTATAACGAATCTTCAGTTTATTTGAAGCAATTCAGTTTCAAAAACTTTAGGTTACAGCAGTGACAGAAAAAACAAGGAGCAGTCGGAAACAAAGAATAATTAAGAGTACTACATTTTTTTGTTTGCTTTTAACACTGTCATGGCTTTATTCAAAACACAGTTGCACGAAAGTATTAACTTCAAAGTTTTTAAGGACAGATTCTTAAGGAACTTAACACACTACATACATACTGCCAAAGAGCATTAAAAAAGGACCAAAACCTTCTACAAAATATAAAAGCCACCCTTACTTACTTGCATGAAAATACCACCCCCAAAGCTATTATAAATAAGTCTTCAAAGTTATCAGGAGGCTCTAAGTGTTGTTTTGAAACCAAAGAACTCTAATTTTGATTGCACAGTAAGATGATTGATAAGAAAGTCAATATATAGATTTCATTTTGAAAATAAGTATTTTATTGTCTGGCATAGTATGTATGCAACAAGAATGCTTAGGGGCTATTGATAGAACAGGGCATTTCGATGTTTAAAATCAGAAGACAAATGCTAGCCTTTTGGAGATTCCAATCCCCCTAGTACTAAACTTATCCTAAGTGTCTTATTTTAGTCAGTTGTGC